GGGGGGTCCTTGTTATACTTAGAGTATACTGGGCCCCCAAAACCCTATTCTAATTATTGAGGACCCCTATATGAAGGACCAACCTAGCTTCAAGGAGTTCAGTGTAGATTGCCGGGCTTTGGGTTCCGAAGGAAGCTGCCTCTTCAAGAAGGTTCCTTATTATGAGTTTCTTATGTAAGCCCTGAAATTTCAAGGTTCTTTATTATAAGTTTCTTGCATAGGTCCCGAAAAAAGGTATGTAATGGTATGTAGGTTATTCAGGGACCAGCTTCGGCCAACACGGACCTTTACCCTAAACCCTAAGCCCTAAACCCTAAACCCTTCAAACCGAAAGATGATCCAAACCCCCAACGCCCCACCATAACCATAGCCATAGCCTGCCTTTTAAATTCTATAACTTTGAAAAAATACAGGGGCCCAGCAATTATGCAGGTCTCGGTAGTTCAAGGCACCGTCTACAAGGTATCGAAGCCCTAAGCACAGAAGCTCAGATTCGGCTTGTCAAAATATGTGTCAGAATGATTACTTGACAGCAGTGAGATTATTTGTTTTGTTGTTCATGATACCTTTTAGCTTTGCACCATAAATATCCACCCCCCCACCTNNCCCCCCCCCCCCCCCCCCCCTTCAACACAAATTGTGTTCAATTTCTCCGAGTAGACCCCACGCACGTGAACTCTGGCTCTGGACGCAATCTTGTGATTGTAATCGCCCACACACAAACCTCTGATTTAGCCTTCCGGGTTCCACAGTTCTACACACCTTGCACGCAAATCTGACTCCTGATTCGTAAATCGCTTCTCCCTTGAGAAGGGCTCCCACGGGTATATTACGATTATGGGATTGGATGAAGGAGTCTGCTTTAATTTAGCTCTTGGCCCCAAACCTGCTCAGCAAAGGAGCGGGCGATGGATTACGAGGGACGTCTGTCCAGGATCGGGTTTGAAGGGTTTTGGGGCTTTGGGGTTGTGGATGTCGGTTTTTTGGGAGTGCTGGGTAGCCAAATCAAATGACCGGTGTGGGGCTTAGGGGTTTTGCGGGCTGCATGTTCCAAGTTTTGCATGTCGTCTTGGAGAGTTTTCCGGTATGCTGTCAGGGCCCCTAAACCCCTAAACCCCNNAAACCCCCTAAACCCTAAACCTGATTTAGGAGGCTGAAACCCAGGCTTGGCGAAGGGAAACAACACCTCTGCTGCTGTCATCTTGCGGACGGACTCTGTGAGCCCAGGGCCCGCAACAACCCCAAAGTCCTGCAGCTTGTTGCAATATTGCGCACGCTAGCCATATGAGCCCGATGACCCTTGTAAACCCTAAACCCAGTAAGCCTTAAGCCCTAAAGACATGTAGATGCGACGAACTGTCGTCTTGCGCAATACTTGTAGGCCTTTGGAATTCTTTGGAAGCAATCGACATGCAGACTCCGCATCACACTGCATCCTGAACAGACAGCATTACTTGGAGGATCGCATGTCTTTTTCTTTATTGGACAGCAAGCAACCCAACCAGCGCAAGATCCCAAATCTAGTCCGGGACTAGGCGTCTGCCCACACGGAGAAAAACCCTACCAAAAAATGTCCGCTAGTCCATCTATACATTTCTTTCTGTACACTTCGAAAAGCCCGAGATGCCCTAAACCCTAAGCCCGAAACCCTAAACGCCCCAAGCTGTGGTAGTTCCGCGAACCCACAGAGCCGCAGGAAGCTCCAGAAGTTGGATGCAGACCTCGTGGCCAAGCGCGAAGAGGTAGAGGGCTTGCAACGGTGCCCTGGCTTTGAAGATTCAAAGTCGTAGTCCCTAAAACCTAAGGCCTAAAAGACCGTAGACTCTAAACCCTATAAACCCCAGACCCTATAATAGGCTACTTGACAGTGTGTATTGCATGGGTGGCCTGAAGACAAGACGCCCGAGTTCAATAACCTTCAGAGATCAGGCGAGGTTCCCAAGACCGGTGTCTGACGGCTTCGTTTGAGCCCCAGCATGTAAGTATGGAATGCAGGACGACCGAATCCATGTTCTACTGGAGTGCAGTTCCATATCGGCTTCTCTTCATGCGATGAACGAAAAGACTCCCAAGGCTCTTACTTAAAGCAATACTTCCGAAGCTGTAGTCTTGTCCCTCCACAAGAGATCGGCAGTTCGGGAGAAGGTACGAGTGGGTTATGCGAGCTTAGCCTCCTTAGCCTCTTCTGATAGAGGGATAGCTTACATCTGATATAGCCGCTGCCAGCCACCGTCTTTTGTACTTTGATAAGCGGGCGTTCGGCAGGTAGCTGGCTGGGGACAGGCATGTAGCGTGCATATAAGTATGCATGTGTACATATCTGTATATGTATAGGTTCTACATGTACATACTGTATATACACTCACAAGTACACGCGCACACACACACACACGCACACGCGCGCGTATGTGCTGCCCAACAAGCCTTGTAAACAGCACGGTACCTTGTAATGTCATGAAACCTAAGCCCCTTAACCCTAAGCCCTGAACAAAGTCGAAATCCAAACCCTAAACAACCATACATTCACAGGAGCTTGCGCCTGGAAAGGGACAAGTTTGCAGAGGACTTCATGCAAATGGATCTACAAGCCTACAGTTCCAGGGTTTGGGGTTTAAGATTTTGGGCCAACGTGCACAGCGGCAGGCAGTGGAAGCCAAAAGGGTGTCTTGCAATTGAAAGGCATCTTGTTTGTTGTGGCCCTTCTATTTTTACATTCAGGATCTTACTGTTAGGGTTCCCTTGTATTCAGGATCTCACTGTCTGGGTTCCATATTCATTTTCTGACACTAGCGACACTTGAGTTTTCATGGCTTCTTTTGTCAGGGCCATCGGAAAAGCGTTTCAGGGGCTCCCCCTACGCTATGTTGCAGTTCCTTTTTGTGTTTCCCCCTTTTTCCGTGCACAAGGTCGTAGCATGCAGTTGCTGAGCCGGTGTACTTCATGAAGCCAAAAAGCTACCCAGCAAAGTGCCCAGGAGTACAAGAGCGAGAAGCGGGAAAGAGAAACAAAGGCGACTACGCAAGAGGAACGGATCCGAGAGTACCTTTCGGAGGCAGGGAGGGAGAGATCGGTGACCTACACAGCTGCTATGAAGTGGACTTGAAGTCTTATGAAGCTTGAAATCCTCAAGGTTCTCTATGCCAAGCCGAAGCAGAAGGACAAGAAAGGCGAGTTTAGTTTGGATACCGTCCTCGTGTTCCTTGGCTGCACTGCCAAGGCAAAGCCTTCCACCTTACGCCAATGTTACAGCCCCTCTGCAAGAGCACGAGGAGAATGCCACAGCACAAAGAGCTGCAACAAAGGGGATCGGTACAACGGTACCAGAATCTGGGCAAGTGTTCCATGGTTCATCTGCTGTGTGCCATGTCCAAACTTCCTATGCCCCTTGAGAACAGCCATGAAAAAACACAATGCAGAAAGACCCACCGAACCCTGAGCCCAGTGGTTTTTAGTTTTAGTCTTCTAGTTCCACCGATTCTAGTGTACAACCCCATGCGAGCCTAAGCTACAACTGTTGAGTCTGGCCTGGGGTCGCTATGTAGCCCCCTGGTTTGATCACCCGGCCAGAAAGGCTTGGTAAGATCCTAACCAAGTGAACGTCAACCTGAAGACGCTCCCTGAACCCTAAACCCGAAACCGTTTCTCGCGCTGGCGTTCAGTCATTACGATTGCGAGTTTGGTTTGTGTGGAGCCTTGCCCGCGGTGTGCGAGTGTGAGAGTAGATACCCTAACTTTTCTCCAATGCAACCCTAAACCTAACGTCTCTCTACCTTAAACCCTACACTACACCCTAAACTCTAAATCCTAAAGCCTAAACCCTAAACCAAAGCAGCCCTAAACCCCAACCATCGCCGAACCCCCTCTCTAAAGCAGCTTTTCTTTACCAAGGTCTTTTGTGAAGCCGAATGAGAGCTTCAGATACAACCTGGCCTTTCGAGTCGACTCAGGATCTGGGTTCATTAAGGGTTTAGGGTTTCGGGTTTAGGATTTAGGGTTTAGGGTTTAAGGTTTAGGGGTTTATTCAGGGATATTTAGGATTCGGGTTTAGGGTGTAGGGGTTTGGGGTTTTAAGGTTTCAGGGTTTAGGTTTTTAGGGTTGGGACTGTCGAGTTTAGGGTTTAGGGTGCGCTTCTCGGGTCTAGGGTTTCACCGACTCAGGGTTTGGGGCTTTGGGGTTTAGGGTGTATAGTTTCGGGTTTAGGACTTATCTTGCCAGTAAGCGACTGCCAGTGGGACTTGCACAGAGCTCAGCGCGACAGGGTCTTTACCAAGGACGATACTGGTCTGCATGTTGGAGACCTTGTGGCATTGGCATTACTGCTGTTGCCCTTCTTACTGACAGACTGACATCCTGAATTTGCAAGCCTAAGCCTAAGATAGGGGGCCCCAAAACCCTATTCTAATTATTGAGGCCCCCACATTAAGCCGCACGACTTTCTTTAGTCCTCGCGCCATGCTTCTATATCTTCAGGTCGCCGAACTGATGCAAGGCTACACCCTTGATAACTAGAATAGGGTTTTGGGGGTTCGTGACTAGAAATATGGTGTAATATACCTCCACACCCTTTTCTAACTAGTAAGGCCCCTACATTACGGCTGCGGATGCGCCTAGTTTGGGGCAGTAATTACTTTCAATTGCTGCTAAGTTGCTAGATGCAGCAGGAACAAACGTGGCGCAGCTGCGAAACAGCGCCTGCAAGTGGCTTGTCCGAATGCCCTATGTTGCGATTCGAGATTCCTGCAACCTGTAACCCTTAAACCTTATAGAAGCCCGAAACCCTTCTCATGCACATTCCCAAGTGCTGTGAACCTGTAGTAGAGCCAGAAGCTCTTGGACGTTGAGTTGCTTGCTTGCACACCATGTTGTTGAGGGAAACGCCCTGCGATAACTTCACGACTGTGATCTGTGAGAAATGACGCTGTGGAGCCCTGGATATCACCCTCGCGTCCACTAGCACTCAGCTACATGAGCCCTGACAAAGCCCTATGGCCCTTAAGCCCTGAACCCTAAAGCCCAAACAGCCCAAAACCCTTGCAACCACAGGTACTGGGGTGTTAGCCCGGACAGTTTCATCCTGCATCTCGGCTGGAAACTGGAAGGTTCCAGGCAGTCGGCTTGTAGGGGTGGGGGCTGAAAGCTCAGGGCTTTAGGGTTTGGGGTTTAGCGAGAGAGGTCTGGCAAGACTATCAAGACTTGAGTCCAATGGAAAGAAAGGGTTTAGCAAAATTAAATGCGAACCTTGCTGGTTGGTCAAAAATGACCAGGGTATCTGGGGGCCAGCCCAAAGCGGCAGCGCCGGGGTTTTCCGTTGGTATCTACATGTGTATATATTAAACCCTAAACCCTAAACCCTAAACCCTAAACCCTAAACCCTAAACCCTAAACCCTAAACCCTATTATATATTGTAGATTTATATGTACATATCGAGGGCCTTTGCTCCCCACAGCGGGTTCCCTCATTTGTTGAACCTGTGCCCGATGTTGCTCCCTGTCGCTTGCTAGCAATGCTCATGCTGAACCGCGTGCCCTGACACAGTTACTTGCTTCTCTACATGGTTATGGTATACAGTGCGCCAAAACAATCAAGCACGGTTTTGTTTGTTTCGTGTGCTGTCTCACACTAGCACCAAGTCAGGCGAACGATGGCGAACAACAAATGCCAGGACGGAGCAGACCTTGTAGTCGTACGGATGCAGTGTGGGGCCAGCCCCAACTTGCAAGAAGCCGAAGCCTCCTTTGTTGATCCCTGCTCTTCGATGGTTTGGGGTATATGCAAAGAACACCTGCCAAGTGTCTTCTACATGCTAATCTCTAATCCTCCCCAAATCTCCTTAGCCTCTACTAGACTCGACTCTTTAATTCAGAACCCTAAGCCCTAAACCCCAAACCCCTAAACCTTAAACCCTAGGCTGACACAAATCGACACCCTTAGCCCTCCACCATTTTGTGAACCCTTAAGGGTCCATGTATTCATATAGCAAAAACATGGGCCGTAAAGTACCTATATAGGGACTACATCAAGGCCAATGCATATACTAGATGGTAGATTCTTGGAATTGAAATAGCACCCTAAATAGTAGGATCCCTATATCATAAGGACCCTAAAATAAGGATTCCTGGAATTGGGGACCCTAATATTGTACCCTAAATAGTAGGATCCCTGTTATAAGGACCCTGAAACAAAGGTACCCCTCGAAAACGCCCATATGAGCACATGGACCCTTAGGGAAAGATCGGATTGAGCGCTCGAGACTCGAAGGGCGCTGGAGGGTTTAGGGTTTAGGGTTTAGGGGGGTTTAGGGTTTAGGGGGGTTTAGGGTTTAGGGTTTAGGGTTTAGGCTTTCCGGGTTTTGGTGGAAGGGAGAGGCTTGGGACTGCCAAGGATCGAGGGTTTTAGGGTTTAGGGGTTCAGGATTTCGGGGTTTTGGGTTTCGGAATTTTGGGTTTCGGGGTTTCGGGGTTTCGGGGTTTAGGGTTTCGGAATTTAGGGTTTCGGGGTTTAGGGTTTTGGGTCTAAGGTTTCAGTTCTGGCGTAAGGAAGAGACCTTGGCCGGCAAGCTTCGAGTTGAATACTTGATGGAGCTCGGAGTTCAAGGACTCGTAAACCCTACCTGTAGCCGAAAAAACCTACCTTTTTAGGGTTGCCTATTATGGTTTCTATATATAAGTCCTTAAAAGGGTAGGTTTTTTGGGCCACAGCTAGTTCCTAAACTTAAACGCGCTCATTGAACGAGCCCTGAACTCTTAACCTATGGCCCTGAACCACAAACCTTGACCCGTAAGCCCTTATAACCGGAACCCAGCCATGGCCCGAAGCCCTAAACTCCAAAGGGGGGTTCAGAGCAAGATCCCTGAGCCGGGGGACGTAGACACCTCGATGTGGACCGAACACGCCGCAGGACGACAACAAGGTCAAGGACGACTTCCAGGGCGGGGAGGGTTAAGGGTTTGCAGAGTTTAAGGTTGAAGGCTCAGGGTTGGGTTTAGGGTTCAGGGTTTAGGATTCGGGGCTTAGGCTTTAGAGGGTTTGTGCTCTCGGAAGGGAGGCGAGAGGGCAACAAAAGAGGGTTTAGTTGAGTTTTGGTTCGGGGGGGGTTCTGAGAGGGAAAGCGAGCGGAGAGACAGAGCAAAGCTCTCCCTGAACCCCATGGTTTAGGGTTCAGGGTTCAGGGTTTAGGGTCCTGGGTTTGTTCCTGGCATTTGCGTAGTCCAGGTGTAAAAGGGTTCTGGGTTTAGGGTTTAGGGTTCAGGGTTTAGGGTTTAGGGATTGGGAAAATCATCAACCAAAAGAGAGAGGGGTTGGTGGTGTTGGATGATTGGCACACCCTCCAAAGGATAGGAGGGGGGGGGGGTGTTTACACTACTGTTGAATGGTACATTCCTCATTATGGGCATTGCATGATTTATAGCATGAACCGTATCATGGTAGACTAAACCCTAAACCCTAAACCCTAAACTATTACAATGTGGCGAGGCCCTCCTCTCGCAAGATTGAAGGTTTACTCGGAAACGAACCCTCGAATCTCACATGGGTAGTTCTCTAAATTAGGGTCCCACTTTAGGTCCCCATTTTAGTACGGCACCCTTATAAAAAAGGATGCGAAAAGTGACCCTAGTTTAGAGAACTGCCCACATCCTAAGCTGCCCCGGTTTCCCGGCAGGACTGCTTCAAGCAGGGCGAAATTGCACAGCTTCGACTTGAGATGAAGCGCCACTCAACTCCCTTCATAAGTCAAGACCACTCAATTACAACATATTAACATAGAGTAGTAGTGGTAGCAGGTTGCTGTGGGGCATGTTTTTTGCAAACCCAGTTCTTAACATTGTGACAGTTTACCAACCCTAAACAGTTCCAGTGTACTCCCAACATGACGCACAAAGTAGAGCTTGCTTATGTTCCTGAGTAGTGATGTCAACGAGTACCGCACCGCGATATTGACTGGCTACTTATGCAGCGTTCTTCCCACAGCAACTGCCACAGGCAGGAAGCACCGTACACACCGTCGGGTTTAGGGGTTTTGAGTGGAGGACCCTTTTTAGGACTGGGTTTAGGGGTTTAGGGGTTGAGGGTTTAGGTAAACTCGACATGCCCCTCATGGATCCGTATATCCCACCCCTGCACGGCTTGTTCAGCCTGACAGGCCAATCCACCCAACACCAAAGCACAGCGCATCATCTGCTATGGCATGCAATGTTCGATAGTTTGAAAGCTTGAAGGTACTGATTCAAACTAATTACTTGGGAAATTGCTCAGGATTCGAAATATGTGTGTTTATCATTTATTGTGTTCCTGCATGTCGACAGATATAAGTGACCTCACTGTAGTAGCATGTATCACCGAAACACTATCACGAAGTCAAGCACTTAAAGTTGCCCATGGTTGCAAATGTCATTCTTGTCTGAGCTCGCCTGTGACCAAAGAGAACCCAATACCCCTTAACTAAGGAATATACCTTAAATCATAATACTAAAGGCCCCTACAATTTAAGGTATATAATATTAAGGCCCCTATATTTTAAGGTATATATTGCTTAATTAAGTTGAAATGCTTCCGAAGCCTCTGTAGTCGTCTAGTCGTCAGAGACTGCGCTCTGTTGGAAGCCCCGCTGAATGGCCCCACTATCTCGCCGTTTTGGGCTACCTATAGTCTCCATTGTAGTTCCTTTTTGAGGATGCCTTAAAAAATCCTTAATATATAATTGGTTAAACCAAAAAAAGGAACTACCATGGAGACTACAGGTAGTGCATTCGGTGCTCAGCGGAGTTGTTGAAGTACTACGTTCCAATGGCATGCTGAATACTAAACGTTGCTTGATTCGGCTCCTTTATTGCATTGCTCGGTTACTACTCCTCACCGGGGATTCTGGGATCTTGCCCTACATTGACAAGAGGGTCCAAGTTTGTCCCTTTCGAGAGCTTCGATCGGCCGCAACTGATGTTAAATACTGCGCGATAGCATTCTGATTTTCTGCTGTTTGGTAGCCTGGTACTCTTTTGAAACCCTAAACCCTAAACCGCACTGTGAATCGTGAGACGCGGTTTTTTCCCGTGTCGGAGTTGCGAGAGCAACCCTACAAAGCCGTCGGCCAGAAGGTCTTTGGGGGGCTCAGGGCTCACTAAGCGGCCCTGTCGATATCCGAGGAGACAGCTCCGAGCCACCTCTGGAAGAAGAGCTCAAGGCGGAATATGTCTTCAGAATGGGGACTATGGTAAGGGAGTTCAGGTTTTAGGGCCTATGGCCTAGGATTCAATCTTTAAGGTGGTTTGGGCTTTGGGCTTACGTTTGGGGCTTCGGGATTCGGCTTATGGAATGGTTCCGAAGATAGGCTTGCAGCGATGAAGGATTCCCGGGCTTATCGGTTTCCAGGGCTCAGGGATTAGGGGTCAGCAGGGAAGATGGCTACATAAGACCTGTTTCACTTTTCTGAAGGCCGGTTGATCCTGACCAGCTCGGGGCAGAGGCGAAACCCCAAGCCGGCCCCAAGCCCAAACTATCCAGTCCAATGTTATATGGCACCCTAAACCCTATAAACCCTAAACCCTAAACCCCTAAACCCTAAACCCCTACACCCTAAACTCTAAACCCTAAAAACCCTAAACCCTAATGGCTCTTCAGGGCTAGCTGGTCTTCTAGAGTCTTGCGCACTTGCGACAGGTCCCTTATAAACACCTTAAACTATGGACTAGGACCTTAAGGATCGAATCGAAGCTTAAAGCACTATTCCTCAGGGCGCATTATGACAAGAATACTAGAATGTACCCCAAAACCCTAGTCTATCCCTAAACCATAAACCCTGAATAGGACCCTGAAATAAGGGACCCTAATTTAGAGAACTGCCCTAAACCCTAAAGCCCTAAAGCCCTAAAGCCCAAAGCCCTAAAGCCCTAAAACTCTAAAACCCTAAAGCCCTAAACACTAAAACCCTAAAGCCCAAAGCCCTAAAGCCCTAAAACTCTAAAACCCTAAAGCCCTAAACACTAAAACCCTAAAGCCCTAAAACCCTAAAGCCTAAAACCCTAAACCCCAAAACCCTAAAACCCTAAACCCTAAAACCCTAAAACC